TAAATATCTCCGGGAGGCACTGAAAAATATCTGTGATGTGAATAAATTGAATAAGTTTGGGATTCCGGTCCCCATAAGGCTTCCCGAGATACCTCCATTCCCTGACAAATCCTTGCCCCTCTCACTGCTCCTCAGTTATTCCCTCGGGTGTCCATTCCTTATCCACCCCCCCCCCCCCCCCAAATCCACATGGGAGATTGGAAGGGGTGTTCCACCCCAGAGATCACAGTGCTCAGGCAGTGTCGGACTTAAGAGCGATCAGCTCCGTCCACAAGAGGTGCTCACAGGAGGGCCTCCCATCTCTGGGCCCTGCCCTGCGTGGGCTGGCAACAAAGGCAGAGAGAGATACAGCCCAGGTGTTGTGTGCTCAGAGTAGGGAGAGGCCCGAGAAGCCTTTTCCCACTCACCTGGGCCTGGTGCCTTCCAGGCCGACCAGAGGAGCTCAGCAATAATTCAGGGGCTCCAGCTCTTTGGAACCTGTTGCCAGGAAACAGGGAGACAGGCACGTGCATCCCTGGGGAGAGGAATCAGTTTCCAGCCCAGACAAAGCAGTGAAATGTAAGCCGAGGGCACTGACTGGGGGACTTGGGACCTTCCCACTCCAATTCACAGAGGCTAAGTGGGGACAGAGGGCAGGGCCCTGCTGAGCGCAGCAGGTATGGCTATAGTCACCGGGGCGCCAATGTGGGTCCGGGGGAAAAGGACTTTGGAAATGGACTTTGTGAAAGGAAGAGGACTTTTCTGGAGCCATTCCAAGAGATCAAATTCAAGTACTCCTGGGAAGGAGGCCTCTGTGGGGAGATGTCGCTATTATTCTTGGCCAATGTGGGTCACGGCAAGGGGTCAAGGTGGCAGAAGCCCGCTCTGTCCCACCCCCACCCTAGACTCCTTTGGATCCGTTCACTTGCTGGGCACTGTGCCAGCTAGGGAGGCTGGTGCATCTTTAATGAAGTCACCAGATCCCTGGGACAGGCTCTCGGTCTCACCAAGTTCCTAAGACAGACCCACTGGATGCCCTCTGAGCCACTGCCTCCTGTACCTGGGCACCAGGCCCGTTTCCCCTGCAGCTATGAGCCAGGCCTTCTGGAAAACCTACAAATCCAAAGTGCTCCAGACCCTGAGTGGGGAATCTGAGGAGGATCTGGCAGAGGAGGTGAGTACCATCCATGTTTGCTGGGTGGGGCAGGGGCAGAGGGGAAGCAGGAGTGAAAGGTACAGAGAAGGGCAAGGGGCAGGCTAGAGAGAATGAGAGGGTGGGGTACATTTGTGCAGAAGTCATCAGCCCACTGAAGGATGACAAATGGCACGGCACAGGGTCAGAAAGACAGGACGTTCAAGAAGAAAAGACTTGGGGGACCTTGGGGGAGCGGTCACTATATCCATGGATCTCCAGGATTGCCACAGGGAGAAGATCCTTCTAGGTCCATGTGCAGTGGCCACACAGGTACACTCAGCTTACTTACTACTGGGCAGAGCGGAACAGAAGTGGGATGGCTTGCCTTGAGGAGAAGTGGAGCCTCCTGGTACCGGAGGTAGGAACAGTGACACTTTTATTCTGAGGGTCACTGACAGCATCAGATCAGAGCCACACTTGGACCATGTTTATCCTGATGTTAAAAACAAAACAAAACTGAAAAGGCTCTGAAACAGTCTTTCATCTAGCGGCTGTGATAAGTGGCAACTGCACAAATAGACGTGGCAGGGGCAGGAACACGTTCTGTGGTATGTGTGTATGTGAATTAGTGAATGTCTAGACAGGGCTGGGCATGTGTAGAAGTATTTGTGGGTCAGTGTTAGGATTGGTGTCTGTGTGGTAGCCCCAGGGAAGGTGTATGTGCAGGTGTGAACGAGGTATAGGTATTTTCAGGTATGTACATTTGGGCAGAAGTCTATGCCTGCCTAGCTCTGTGAAGGTTTGGCAGGTGTTCTGTTTGTTTGTTGTGTGTGTTTGTGTGTACATCTATATCTTGGTGTCTGTGGATGGGTGGAAAGGTTTGTGTGCTGTGGGTGGGCCTCTGTGCAGCTGTCTGCAGTTGTATAGGTGCACAAATGTGAATGGTATAACTGTGTATGTGTCCTTGTATAAGTGCCTCACAGTGCACATAGCCACATAGAGGTGAAGAGCTATAGCCATGTGGAGGCATGCGCAGGCAGGTTTGGCAGGTGTTGTGTTTGTTTTTTGTTTTGTTCTTTTTTAAAATATATATTTTATTGATTTTTTACAAGGAAGGGGAAGAGAGAGATAAAAACATCAATGATGAGAGAGAATCATTGATTGGCTGCCTCCTGCACCGCCCCCTACTGACGACCGAGCCCGCAACTTAGGCACTCAACCCAGCTACATGCCTTTGACCGGAATCGAACCTGGGACCCTTCAGTCCGCAGGCCGACGCTCTATCCACTGAGCCAAACCGATTAGGGCGTGTGTTTGTTTGTTGTGTGTGTTTGTGTGTACATCTATGTCTTGGTGTCTGTGGATGGGTGGAAAGGTTTGTGTGCTGTGGGTGGGCCTCTGTGCAGCTGTCTGCAGTTGTATAGGTGCACAAATGTGAATGGTATAACTGTGTATGTGTCCTTGTATAAGTGCCTCACAGTGCACATAGCCACATAGAGGTGAAGAGCTATAGCCATGTGGAGGCATGCGCAGGTGTGTCTACATCAGTGTGCATGCCCATGTCCACATGTTTTTTGAGTATATATGGACATGTCTGTAGGTGGGCACATATGTGTTTGTGGAGGAATTTTTTTATACAGGTAATGTATGTGACTGGTAGCTTTGTTTAGAGCAGTGGTCGTGGTATAATTGTGTATGTGTCCTTGTATAAGTGCCTCATAGTGCACTTATAGAGGTGAAGAGCTATAGCCATGTGGAGGCATGTAGAGGTGAAGAGCTATAGCCATGTGGAGGCATGCTCATGCACAGGTGTGTCTACATCAGTGTGCATGCCCATGTCCACATGTTTTTTGAGTATATATGGACATGTCTGTAGGTGGGCACATATGTGTTTGTGGAGGAATTTTTTTATACAGGTAATGTATGTGACTGGTAGCTTTGTTTAGAGCAGTGGTCTGCAAACTGCGGCTCGCAAGCCACATGCGGCTCTTTGGCCCCTTGAGTGTGGCTCTTCCACAAAATACCGTGCATGGGCCACGAAGTTTCAATCGCACTGTATGTGTGCGCCCGAACGTGGTATTTTGTGGAAGAGCCACACTCAAGGGGCCAAAGAGCCGCATGTGGCTCATGAGCCATAGTTTGCCGACCACTGGTTTAGAGGAATACTTTGATGCATCTGGGAAGGGTGTGAGGAGACTAGGTGTATGTTTAGTTCTGTGGGATTTGGGGTGCCTGGTCTGTGTGTACCAGGCTAGCAGTGGGGGAGGGAGTTCCTATGCCTTTGGGGCCTCTCTCATGCTGGGTGGGGGGTCTTGTGTCTCAGAGGGAGAACCCAGCTTTAGTGGAGTCTGAGACAGCAGAACCGACCTCGGAGGCCTTCAATCCCATGTCACAGCTGGCCCGCCGGGTGAGTTCTCCCTCCTTCCAACCCGGCCCTGGGGAGCCTGCAAGAGGCTGCTGTGGAGTCCTGGGAGGTGGTGCTGTGGCCCCTCATTGACTCCCAGGCCCTCCCTCCCAGGTTCAGGGGGTCGGAGTGAAAGGTTGGCTGACAATGTCATCTCTGTTTAACAAAGAAGATGAAGATAAGCTGCTGCCACCGGAGCCCTGTGCTGACCAGTATGTGTGTGTGTGTGTGTGTGTGACGGGGAGGGGGAGGCTCTGGGATGGGCCTGGGGTCGCCTTCTCCACGGCCTTTCCATATGGTCAGTTTGTCTTTCTGACCACGGAGGGTTGGGATGGGCCAGCCCCTGCTCTTTCTGTTTCTCTTAGCAGGAGAGGCCAAATCAGCATATCTGGGAGATTAGGGGTAGATTACAGGAGGAATTTACCAAATGTTGGGATCGAGGTGCTAGAAGGTATTATGGGCGCTCTCTCTCCATCCACGTGGGAGGGGTCCTCTCCCTAGAATCAGGGAGCTGAGCAGAGAACCTTTGGGTGTTTGGACCAGAGGGTGATCCAGATCAATGATTCCCAAATATGGGTCTAAACTCATCCTCCCAGGGTGCTTGTGACAAACACCATTTCCCAGACTCTTCAAAGATTCTGCTTCAGCAGGTGAGGCCTTCAGCCCTGAGGCCTGGGATCTAGATTTCAGCAAGCGGAAAGGATCTGGGGCACACTAGTTTAGCAACCAGCCTTGTAGATCTAGGATGCCGGAGGGTTAGGGGGCAGGACCCAGGTCCTCAGTCTTCCTCCTAGCTCTATCTCGGGCACACCCTCCATCTCTGCCTCTTCCTCCAGCCCAGTCCCATTCCCCCCCTCTCTTTGACACTCCCATATTCCTTTCTCCCCGAGGGCCCCTGGCCCACCCATCTCTTGTCCCCACACTTTTCTCCTCTACTTCCCAGCTCTGGTAGGGGTCCCCTCAGACCTGAGATCCCACCCCAAGCCGCACCACCGCTCCTCGATTGCTCTTCCCCCACATTTCCCGGCAACCTCCAAGGTCCCCCTCCCCTGAGCCTCTGATTTAGACCTTTCTCCTTCCCTAGGGGCCTCTCCACCCGTCCTTCTCCCGTGTCCCCTCATTTTTCTGGTCGCCCTTGACTCCCATCCCAGAACCGGACCCCAGTCCCCACCCCGCCTCTTTCCCAGGGCCCCCCTTGGCTTTCCTGACCGCCGCCTCCTGAACCCGTTCCTTTCCCGGGATCTCGCCCTTCCCGGTCCCGAGCCACTCGCTGGAATCCTTGGTCCTGCCCTTTCTCAGGGCACCGTCCCCATCCTCCCAGACCTGGCGCCTCTCTCCGGCTTTCCTACTCTGGCCTCGCCCCAAGTCACTTTCCTAATCCCTAGACCTTGTCCCACCCAGCCCCGCTCCCCGGCACGTCTGAGCCCTCCCCCTGCCT